ATTTTTAATATTAATAATTTAATTATTAACTTAATAAGTAATTATTAATTAGAAAATTTTTTAAATAATTTTTAAGTTCCATCACTACCCATTATAAAAATTTCTTTCCTATCTTTATCTTTTTCCCTTTCTTAGCTATTTGTAATATAACGATGTCTGTTGCAATTTCTGATACACAAATTACGCTTTGGTGCTTTAAATATAGAAGTAGTTCTTTCTCCGTAACCGTTGAAAACAATAATTCTATTTTTGACCTAAAGAAAGCCATTTTAGAGGAAGTTAGTGTACCTGACAATGTAAAAGCCAAAGATCTCAGACTTTGGAACGTTAGTTTTGATGAGAACCAGATGAGCAATTCTCCTGATGAATTATTAAACGATAATAATGAAATAAAAATGGGGTCATAAAAGATTGAAGCAACTTTTTATGGAGTCCAAGGAAACAATATTCAAGTTGTCGTTAGAGCTCCTATTGTTACCAGTGAGTCATACCAAACTTAGTCAGCGTGATATATCATATTTTTTTCGTCTTCCCTATCATATTCGCTAATAATACTGAATACTTACTTATTCTTATGCTTTTCTTTCCTGCTTCTTATCATCAAACCTAATATTTGCATTATCGTAAAGCAACCCGTTGCTGGTAAGTGAGTCGTAATAAGTTAGTTAGCGCAGTGAACGCGTCTTGGCTTGAATTTCCCTTCTACAATAATTTTGAACATTCCAAACCTAGTGTTGTGATACATTTATCAAATATTGATTTACACTTCTTCCTTCCTACTGCGCTTTGTAGAGCATCCTATAAAGAAACGTCAAATAGAACAGGGCTGGAAGTCATACATCGCCTCTAATGGTCACTCCGTAGAATTGCCACCCCAAATAATTGACATGCTTGAAAGTGACAAATTCGTATCTGATCCGCGCACTACTTTTAGAACTGCCTTCCAGAACATTCATGTTGGCCAATCAATTACCCTACCACATCTTGGTCAGGAACTTAAGCACTTCGCTGAAGGTTATCAAGGAAGGACATTGCTTATTACTGGGCAGATGATTGACATATGGGATAAGCTTTCAGCAGATAATGACTATTCGATCAAGCGCGTTCTTTCAGGTCCAATGGGCATGAGTAAATCATATATTTCCTACTTCCTTGCATCTAAAGCTTATGCTAAAGAATGGTCAATACTATACATCGCAGATGCATCTGATCTAAATGTAGAATCATCTAAGAAAGCAGGAGATGTGATTTGCAGGTACTTTCTGGCACTTAATAAAGATATTTTGACTGCTACTAATCTTAAGCGGATTATTTGACATGTTGATTATGATTCTAAGAAGATTGAAGTTACCATCGCCGAAGAAATTCTAGACTTAATCAAATTAGCAGATCATAAAGCTCTATTAATTGTTAACGAACATGGTATATTATTTGAAAAAGATCCAATACCTTTAAGAATTCACTTGTTAAGTCCTCTGATGAACCTTAATTTTTGAGGAGAAAGTTTCAAATTTGCACGTGTAATCTTAATGGGAACTGCACATGCTAGATATGAGAGAGAATATATGAAAAAAGGTCAATATGAGTTTTGAGTGATCTATGTTAGTCCACTACAGAGCAATGTATTTGATATTTTGTTACAGTTGCACCCCGTTCTGAGGATATAAGGCATCAAAGAAGAGGCAAAAAAGGTTACGAATTGTGTGCCACATGAACTTATATACCTAGTTGAATATATCAAAAAACTCAATATCACTATTACCAATGTAAACTGCTTTCGACAAGTATTAAAAAAATTTGAGATTGAACGGGTCGACAAGATTCTGGTTATTACTCAAAAATATTATAATAGTCTCACAAAAACTGAAAAAACTCACTATTATAATGCTCTCACAAGCATGTTTCTTCCTAGTAAACCCATTGTGCAGTTTGAATGGAAGTTCCTAGATCTTGGGTTAATTTATCAGTACAAGGAAGGGATTACTCATTACCTCCCTCTATGCCCATCTGCCCAGAAAGCCTTATTAAAAATGTACATGTTATTTGATCTACCTGAAAATATAAAAAACCAACTCCGTGTAGGAAGTCTAACTAGAGAGCAATTTGAGAAAGCCTTATTCAATCGACTTGTGTGCAAATGTAACACAACAATACAACTTAATACAACGGATCTCAATAATAATAATAGAAATGTTATTACACTTCATTTTAATGACTATGATTTGATTAAAAATTCCCAATTATCCCTCGGATCTGGTAACGATAAAGTCTTAGGTCATGATTTTTATAGGTACTCCCGATTTGATTACATGCTCGGACCTATATTTATACAGGTATCTATCAGTGATTTTATTTCACACAATAGCAAATCATCAACAAACATCAGGAAAGCATTTGAACTAATGTCTGCACTAGCTGGTATCTCTATAGCGCAAATTAATGGAAGAAATTAGATCGAGATGTATTTGGATGAGATTCATGATCCTAGTCATTCTGCTAAAATAGATTCACAAAATAGGTTTATTGTTACCAGAAATGGCATACGCGTGCCTGGATTTCATATTGTCTATATTCGAGGTAGTCCCAACACTCCCAATCACTCTGGAAAAGTTCGTGAATTCCCTGACATAGCGCATGTTACCTTCGAGGAGATCAAAAGTCAGCTTTTCTCAAATATAGTATAATGTACTTATATTCTTAGCTGTGTAAAGAGAGAGTTGTATTCTTGATTAATGGTGTATTAGTTTACCAATGCTGTACAAATATTAATAAATGCCACTCACATCGAATTTATCTTTTTTTAACATGTAAATGCTGTATATGTGTAGAGTGTAATGTGTATTATCTTCTTTGTTATCTATTATATAAAGCGTCAATTCTTATTGAATATGCCAATTGGGTCATGTGAATCGATCATCTGAAATACACAGAAGATATTCGGTAAAATTCTTGCCGAAGAATAGAGGCTGTATGAGATGTGAATTGCATATATATTCGCATTATTTTTTTCGACTTGATTTGCATTTACATTTCTCCGGCCATGCTATTATCATACTAACAAAACAATATTCGAATATAGATATTTTTTAGCAATTAATATTTTGCATATGAGATTTGGGGATGTGTATGCTAATCCGTTATTTTTTTATTGATTTGCAAGAAATTAACAAATGACGAAATGCAGTGCGTAATTGCTGGTGAAAATCTGAGGAATATTTTCTCCTGTGATGCTATAAAACTAGCGAGAGCACCAAGCTGAAAGAATGTTATCTTTTTTCAGAAAACTTTACCATGAAAACCAAGAGAGCGGAAAACTGAGTACTACTAATGATTACAATAATCTGGGTGACCTAATTTATTATGATGATGATGATGGTAGTAGTAGTAGAGAAAAAAGTAAGATTACGAAACCTTGCAAACCATCTCTTATTAATCATAGGAACATAGTATAATATCCTAAAGTATCTTGAGGATGATATGGTCAAGAATAAAGAAATTCTAGAGCTAGGGCAATGCTCTGAGTATACGAATAATATTTTGACATCACCCATCAAAGAGCTAACTATCCTCTCTTGAAGACATATTTTTCACAGATTATGTATCGAGAAGCAACTTCTACATACCAAACCCAGCACATGCCTATTTCCTGATTGTGAAAAGAATGTCAATATTATTGTAGACCCAAATTCTATTAGGAGAGGTTCGCAATCATCCCAATCTAGCAGAACTTCGACTTTAACTAATTTGATTAGTGAAAAGTTTGTCCTTACCAATAGACCCGATGGATGTGGACCCTGATGGTAATGTAGACTCATGAGTGTATTATTGTCAGGTGGAAAGCAAAGTTCGTCCAAGACTACTGAGGTCGCTAAAGAAACTTCTAACTGGGTAACTAACCCTAAATGTGAGAAATGCTTCGAAAATATTACCATAGATCTTCAGAAAGATACTGCCTTTTTATCTTACAAATACGCTGTGCATTTAGATTACATTAACGATCTACGTAAAAGATGTCCTACCTGTACTTCAGCCGATGATATAGAAACTGATAATTTGGAAACCTCAGATCCTAGTGGTTTGCAGAAAAAATATTCTAATGAATCACCTGAAAAATCGTCTAGCAAGAAAGCCAAAAAGAGTAGTGAAAAGAAAGGGTCCCAAAAGGATCAACTATCGGGTATGCTAAAAAAACTTATTGAAGAATTATCCTCTAAAACATCTCAGAATTCCATAGTTATGGAAGAGGGAACTGGGAATTTCTTTGATCTGTACAATACAATAATTAATATGGAAGGACAGAAAGAGATTGCAAAATGAAATGTCATCAAATCGTATTATAATTTCGAAAAAGCACTTGAGAATCGTTATGATCATTACAAGAAAAATAATCCTAAGCGAATGGCTCAGGCATTGGTAAATAAAGAAGTTCGAAAACAATTTTCAGACTCAGTTAGTGATGACTTACTTTAGAAAAAAAAAGAATGGGCTCTAAAAATTTATAATCTATTTAATGAAATAGGTAAGTATAAGATTCAAAGGATAAAATCTTTCTCAGTATCATCTATATTAAAATTAAGCCAGGACAATATCGACCATATATTGGTCAAGTTTGCGAAATAGTATTTACTGTGCCACTCACGTGACATTATAAACTGAGTTCACATTCTTTGAAATAAATTTTAGTCATATGCAAAGCCCCTTCGGCTAAATTCATATATATTAATAAAGTTTGCCTATATCGGGCTAGTGTTTTTAACATGTATGATGGTGCACCCGCGAAAATGATTGTGAATAAATAATCATTTTCTAAAAGATATATTCTTTCAAAATTACATGAGGTGACGTTTCTTAATTCCCAATAATATAACACTGGTTCATGTGAATCTGCAGTATATGCTAAGCGTAGAGGAATTGACGTCAAATTTGTTTATTTTTTCATCTTTGATCATACCGATATTTTTTCTCACCCTGCAGATCGATAGATTAAGGGCAAGGCTGTAAGACATGCGAATCACATATATATTCAAAAAATCTTCAGAGTTTAAGCTCAGTATAGATGACATTCTTCGTAGGATAAAAAATATGAGGCCAGTCGTAGATAGTAATGAGGCTATGCATTGCAAGACTTTCAACAATCCTTCATACTGCTGTTAGCATCCTCAGAAAATTGGTAATCTTGCCTCAGATGAATGTATCTGGTGAAGAAAGTTCTGGCCGTGTCAACTACGCAATCAAGAAAATGTCATGTATTCTTTGTATTTATTTTTTTCATATTAATAATAAAAATTTTCGCTTATAGGCCGTAAGCAAAAATCATGTGATTTTTTTTATTTTGAATATAAAGCGTTTTTGTATAAAATTTATTGATCATGTCTAATACTCAATCCAACGATTCATTAAGGGAATTAAATACTAAACTCTTAGCTAAGATTGTAGAGCTTAGAAAGGAGAATGCTGAGATCCCTGATCTTAAAAGGAAGTTAGCTGAGTTTGAATCAGAGAAAGTTGAGCTTAAAGTCAGGCTTGCCGAAGCTCTAAGACAGGCTGTGAAAGAGAGTAAGAGACGTGATGCTGAGAATGTTAAACTTAAGGTTAAAATTGAGAAGTTGGAGAAATGCAAGGTAGATTCTTCAGCTGAGAATATTAGACGTGATGTTAAGTTTGCTGAGCTAAACGCTGAAGTAGTGAAATTAACCAAAGGCGCTCAGATTTCTTCTGAAGTAATTGTCAATGTATCTAGCACCATTATAGATCAGTATAATAAGGGGTTCCATAGAGATCAGATCACTTTTCCACTATCTCGTGTGAGTGATCAGAAGTCATCAGAAGATAGGAAAATGGATACTTTCTTAGATGATACAGATAAGAAAAGTATCAGTAATGGAATAAGACAACACAATAGGGGCTATTGTGTGAATCGAAGTCATCAGATAGTATAGAAACAATCCTACCATCTACTTCACTGATATCGCTAGAAGAATCTTCAGATTCAAAAACTGTGGAAATACTTCAGGACTAGCAAGAGAACAAAGAAGCTCGATCGCATAAAAAGAAAGAAGTAGAAAATATCGTGCAAGATGTATTTGATTCACCATGAATGAATCTGATAAAAATCACATGAAAAATTTTTCACTTACAGGCCATAAGGGAAATTCAAACATATTGAACAATATAGTCTGCTTATACAAAGATGCATGTAATGCAGAAGATGAAATGATAAAAGCCAATCAGGTAGAAATTTATGCTAGCTTGACTTTGTCAAGGGACTGGATAAAAGTTTGGATGAAATTATGATCAAAGAAAAGGTAGGTATGAAAAAGGCCAAAGGATTGATTTATGATTTTATTCTTACACACAATCCTGATACCAAACGAAATACTTTATATCAATGCATCGGTAAAGCCAGAAAGATTTATGGGTTTATCAAAAAAATAGGAATTGATAAAATCAAGTATATCAAAACATATAGTGCAAATTCTATTGCAGAATTATTCGATAGTAAAATTCAAACTATTATTGATTATTTCTCCAAGAATCCCAATACCGAATTATCCAATAACTAGAATAGTTCTATTATTGATTCTTCACCAGAGAAGGATGAATTACCGGAAGTTGAAGTAAATGCATTCACTGAATCTGATTCTCCTAGCTCAGAAACCAATTAAAATAATGTATCAGAGGTGCAAGTGGAAGCTTTAGTTTCAGCCGAAGAGGACCCTTGGGAGAAGATAATCAGAGAAACTTTTGAGAAGGATGGGATAGAGAAAGAAAGAAAGAACAAAGCGTCATCAAATGTAGTAACTCCAGCTAAGGGATTGCGTAGCAATCAGGCAAATGACTATGATAATGTGTATTTTAATGAAGAGGCGAATGAAGTTAAGTCAGACGATGAAAATGATTCTAGTGATTCTGAAGAAGAGATACACCGAAGGGATGAATCGGACGATGATAGGTATAATAGATACTATAGATATTATGAATATAGTGGTTACAATAGAGGTTATTATTATTGTGATAGAAGATATGAAAGGAAGGTCTCACCAATAATAAGTCCTATTATATCTCCAGTATCCGCCTAGAAGAATTATCACATACTTTAGTACTGGATTATCTTATAAGTTTATTTTTTTCACTAAAATTTACTTAGAGAAGAAAATGCTAAACTTGTGGCTAAGATCGTCGAACTTGAGGTTAGGAATGTCTCACAAATAAAAAAATATTAAATACTGCATATAATCTCTTGACCAGTAATGATAAAATTATATATGCTACTTTTTGATCGCCAAGTTAATACATTCTAATACAGGGTAATTTGCAAGTCAAGATCAACTAAATAATGGACTGTAAGATCACTAGGGACTGTTATGTTTTTCGATGATCATGTCTATCGACTGCGGAGTAATCTTAAATATAAAAGTATTGGGAAGTATCGGAGTTGCTCTAACAAGAAAACAAATTAAAAAAAATAATCGTTAGCCATTAAGACGCTTCGCAGGCACTTCACAAAGTTTTGTGCATAAACTATCTAAAACAAATTTAATAATAAAATGCTTTCATTCACTGATATCTCTCTGCTTATGCTCTTTTACGCTATAGTATTAATTTATAAAATGATATCCCAGAGAGTTATAAGTATTGAGAATTTTCAAGCTATTTTTTCGGAAAATTTATTCCTATATTTAATTTTTGCTAAAGTAATCATCTATTTTTGCAAACAGCAGACTAGAAGAAATAATGATCTTGAAAGATCAATTCTGGCGTTAAATAATGAGCTCCATAGGATGCGTACTGAAAATGATTGGAAAAATGATGCTATTTCACAAGATATGATTGAATTCATATTTGGCGGTGACTTCTCGAAACTAATATACAAATCGTACCTTTATAGTCAGTTCAAACAGGTTTTCTTTTACAAGCCGTGTATCGCAATATTCTGAATATACAGATGAAATACAAATGTACTAGGTCAAATTCACGGCTATATTTGATCAAAAAAGGAGAAGAGATAGGTGTTCTCCTATACAGATGTACAATATATTATCCCAAGAAATTCACCTTAGCCCTGCCACACTAGTCAGTTTCTATCAATACCAAAAGACCCTAAGGGTCACATCAATGGATAAAATTATTACATGGGTAGGAAGGGAGGGAGAAAGGAAAAGGAGAAAAAAAGTTAATTTTACGAATAATAATGATAGTAGTAGCAATAGTGAGGGTAGTGATGCGAATTAAAATGATGCTGAGACTCTCATTTATAGCTTAGGATCTGAGAACTCCCTCCCTCTTTGATAGCATCATTTATTCCAATCATTACATTCCTCCAGTCTTTCGATCTATTATCTTTTTATTTATTTTTTACTTAACAGATCGGCCATATTACATAATGATAAATAAATAAAAATTTTACTTTGAATTTTTAAATGTATGTCTGCTTTACAAGCTATGAACCTCCCAATATATTTGTAATCGAATAAAAATGAATTTGATATTTTATTATAATATACTTACTACAAACTGCTAAAATTCTTTAAAAACATTATAATTGATAAAATCATTAAAATTACTATAAACTACCTCTACACTCGTAAAATGGTTAAAACAGCTGAAAGGTGTATAGCATTTTTTAATCCTATATGAATGAATACGAAAAACGTGGGAAAAGTATCATCACTTAGTTCTGATGAGATTGATAGAATTTTTATAAATTATTCTATATATCTATAGCGTGGTTTTTATACATATAATACGGATTATAAATTTAGACAAAAAATTGCTTATTCCATATTTAACGGTGCAAAAATTATCCAACGGGCTTGGAGAACTTTCAAGTTAAGACCTGAGACATGGGCAAAACGAGTTTGAAATATGGTGAGATATGATAGTACTCCTGACGAGAAGAAGTGTCTTTGTTCTCATGATCATAGAAACATTTATGATCTATATGTATGGTATATTTATCAAAAAATTCTAGCAAAAGATGTATCTAAAGATTTTCTAAATAGACTATATAATAATTATATTCTATACGACTGGGCAGAAAAAAAGAAATATCAGTTATGGGAACGATTACTTATTGTGGCATACATAGTTGTTTTTATAGAATTACATTTGAAAGGTTATAGAATCGTCGAATGTTCAGATTGGTCTTATATGTTAAAGTGGCTATCAAATCCTGAATATTATCATATTGTTAAATACCTCAACAATGGCAATGTAAACTTTGTTAGAAGTTCAGAATATGGACGATACATATGTAAAATAGCAGGCAAAGCATATCCATGTGAATCGCTAGAAATTGACTATTATAAATCTGGATATCTTACTATCGA